CCCCAAAACCCCAAAACCCCAAAACCCCAAAACCCCTAATGGTTACACTAATGTTGAAATTGAAAGCTGCTACTAGTCTGACTCGAACATTTGCTTTGCGTTGTCCATTGTGAAGTTCATGTTTGAGTTCTATAGCGAAATTAAGACGACAATAGTGGTGTAAGATGCTCTCACTTAAGGATAAGTAGAAATAGCTAATAGTCAGGAAATTTCTTTGATTTTTTACTAATCTTTTCTGCGAAGTTTAAAGCCAAGCAAATAAATTCATAAATATCTTACAAATACAGCATTTTTATTGGAAACATAGATGTCATTGTAATGTATCGGTTGCTTGATTGCGCTCATTTTTGAGATATTCTGCAAGGTTTTTCTAGATCTCCCAGCTATAATGAAAATTACTATAAGTACTTTGGAATGCACCAGACATCCGTTTACTGTTCCTCGTCTTTCTACTGCTGCTCATGGTTTTTATTTTTCTACTCACTTGAGTATGTCCAAGCATTAAGCTCAACTTCTTCTGCTTCCTTGGAATCTTAGAATTATTCATATCAATAGTGCTAATAGATAGACTCGGATTCCCAGAAGATATCCTTCTGTGTGACTTTTCACTTTCTCTTTCACTATTTCTAAGATTATTGGTGAAGAGTAGGCTGCTTACCCTCTATTATTGTATTTCGCATAATATCGCTTTAAGCTTCGATATACTGTTTCTAGTTGGTTCTTAAAATCTGCTACAAATTTTGATTGCTTCTGAGGCATTTCTACAGCTTAACTCCTTGCAACTTACCTTGGACTTGCTTCAAATAATTACAAAAGATGAAGATCACTTGGTCAAGCTGACCCTTGAGATGCATGCAGTAATCCTGGAGCAGAAGGTGGTCCTGGCTGTCTGCTTTTTGAGTTCCAAGGTTTTCTAACTCCTCAACACCAGCTTTAAGGGCTAACTTAGCAGTAAACTCTCTCTCATCAACAGGTTTGACTCCATATGAGTCGAAAAGTTCTTTCTTAATCTGATTTTTGATCTGATTAATTTTTTCCTTAGCGTTCATTGAGATTTCTTCCTTGATATCTATTTGTTTGTTGTCTAATTCTACTACAAAATCCTTCAGATCGTCAAGTCGATCACTCAGCTCAGTCTTTGCATTGTTTAGGCTGATATTATCTGCATATTTTTCGAAAATTCTTCTAACCTCTTCTAAAGAGTGCTTGGATGCTTTGTCTAAGATTATGTGATCTAGTCGCAAGATTATGTCCCTGCTTGTATTCACTTGTTCAGTAATAGCAGAGAGTTGGCGACTTGTGGTGTTTATTGAAACTCTTCAAAGCTCTTTCGATTATTATTTACCTCATCCTGCAATGCAAATCTAGAAATAAAGTTTAGATATACTGATCTAAGCGTAGATGAAGTCCTCGCAACTCTAAGTTAAGGTCTTTCATGTCTATCTTCTCGTCCATAACTTGAATAATAGCTGGCAACTTGTCAGCATTAATTTCTAAGAAGATTTAGAAGTTGGAAGTACCGATAAGAGCTCTCTCGTTGCGTTTAATATCAGACTCAATTGTCATAAGTCTGTCCTGAAGAACTTTCTGCTTCTCCAAGAATTCATCTCTTGTGGTAAACTGAGTCAATTTCTCATTGAATTCATCTTGCATCTTATTTGAACTTCTTGTCAACTTGTTTAGAGAGTTCATACTGATAAAGTCGACCTCTGAGAGCTTCAAAATTCTCTTCCAAAACTCTATGGTTCTCTAAAAGATTAGAGGGTATTTAATCGGTGGCTTACCCATCGGGCAATAATTGGTCAAGGACTTGCCCATAGCGTTGAACTCAAGGTATGGGACGAACTCTATCAACTTTTTGTTCATCTGTGAGATGAGGGTCTTATCGGCTTTATCTATCAAATCATTATGAATGCCTGAGATTTCAACTCTAACATTATTAATCTCAGTCTCCATGTACTCGATATCTGTTTGTAAATCCTTCTTAATATGGTCAATCAGGTTCTTGACTTTCTCCAAATCTGTGATCTTTACTGAGTCATAGGACAGATTTGTACTGGGTTGGCTAACAGATGGCAAACTTTTCTGGGAGGCAGGCACTTCTTCCATTCAAGTGTAAATTTAAAAATATTTTTAGTTTCATTAGCTAAAATTATAAGAGGGGTTTTGGGGTTTTGGGGTTTTGGGG